ATCAAATTCAAGACGGAACATTTAGCAATTAAGAGGAAATAATTACATCTAATTCACCAGTTTTGGCCCCAGAGGGGCCCAAATTGGTGCATTAAATCCAGGACGGAACATCTAATGGTGGAAAAAGCTTAAGAAAAATCTTCATTCTGAAATAAAAGTAAGAACAAAACAAAAAAAAATCTATTATCTTAAAGCATATTATAGGCGGCGCATGATCATGTTCTAATTTAACTATAATTTGACGTCAAAGATCAGCAAGTTATTATGCAATTAATTGACCAATTGTAGCTACGCCACCAATCAATTAATTGAGGTCAAATAATTGCAATTAATTGCTCTCACAATCAATTATTCGGTAGCCCTGTTGTAAACCTATCGAGGATTCGGTAAGCTTAGTTCTATGAAACGAATATTTGAAAACTGAAAATTGAGTAAACGTTATAGATTATGGGCAGCTGGTCGATCGGTCGGTCAGACGCCTCTGACCGAACCGGTACCGTCACTATTAGCATCCTAGGCATACTATACTATATTTTTTATTCTGTTAACTTAATTACTATCATTATGTAATTTTTCATCTAGAAATAATTCTAATATATATATATATTGATCTGATATATAATATATACAATGAAATACAATATTTCAATAGTATATTAAAGTCATATTAAATAACTAAATGCACTAGTAATGTTTAACATCATGGTTAAATTTCTAACCTAATAACCAATTCTAACATCCTGAATTTAATACTACAGTAAACTATTACAAAAATACTTATAGTAATGAGCTCTACTGAAGCGCTTTAGTATTATTCAAACAAACAAAAAAAAATAAAAATAAAATAAAATAATGCCGATATTGTAAATATTTTAACGTAAACTTTATTTTATTTATATAAATTGATGAGTGGCTTTAAGATATTTAGCAATTAAAAATAAGATATGGCCAGTCTTATGAAACTTCATTTTACATTCTAGCATAAATATTTCTTTAAAATATTTAATCCATAATTTCTACAAATGAAAATCACCTGTGAAAGTAAGCTATACTGGTTAAGTTTCTATATTTACAATTTATACGGTTTGTAATAAATAATGATTAATTTTATTTTTCATCTTTTAGTGAATGATAACTTAAATATAAAATAAATATTTTTACCTATTGCAATTACTGGCTCGTTTTCGGAGGATAAACTTGTCCCCTTAATTTATACTCCCAACTTTCGGGATCTAGATTATATTCAGAACCTTCATTAATGCTCCAATACGTCGCAGAAATTAATCCAGCTTGTTCAAGACCGATTCGACATCCATCTTTTAAAACGGCAACGAGAGTAATTTGTCTGGGTTCCAAGCTTCTAGTAGATTCCGGATTTGTATCAATAAATAACCTTTCCATACATGAAGTAAGGTCAACATTACCACGTACACGCAACTCAACATTGCGTTTGCAATTAGCACATTGTGTCTCTTTACCACGAGCAAAAATTGACATAAGGCCAGCAAAATTTGGACTGCTAGTAGGAGTTGAAGCGTTCGCGGTCGGTAAATCAAGAAAAACACGAATTTGAAATGGACATCCAACTTTATTTTTCTGAACAATTAAGGTAAGCCTCCAATGATCTTGCCTGTTTTATTTTTTGTGAATGTAAGTTTATTTAATTTACTTATTAAAAAAAAAATATATACAAAATATTAAAAAATATTTACAAGTATAAGTTTGGATGATAATATCTAAGCATACTACGTAAAAGTTCGTCAGGTGTTAGATTTTTTTCAAGTTCAGGATAAGTATATCCAAGAGTTTTAATATGTCTATTTCGAACAGAAAAAAATTATTAATTAATTTAAAAATGAACTTAATAAAACATTTACGTACCTCACTAATTTTGAAGTCCAATAAGCTGTTTCACTTTTTCTGAATGGTGTAAGATCAGTATTCTCATCAATAAATTTATCAACCGATTGAGTGTATGTGCCTTCGGTGTATGAATTTCCTTTGATCCAGACACGAGGATGGCATGCCTGCCAAATAGCAGTAAGTCGATCCACATTACAATGATGAAGGAAAAAGATGGGATCAAACCCAGCAATGTCAGGATAAGACATATGA